GTCCTATTCCTCTGCGGGGCAACCTGCATATGGCCAATAAAGCATTCATTCAATTCAATTCAATCCTCTCCTGTCTTTCTTATCTTTCTCCATCTCTGAATGACGTTAGCTCTGATTCTTTTCTCTCCCTGGGAAATACAGCAGCTGTACCTTTAGCCAGTAGACAGAAACTGCATATATAAAGTTTGTTTGCTGATATTTGTTGAGCAGGGAGAAACATTAAATTACCTGACACTTAAAAAAATGTTACTGCCTTTGTACTGGTTCCTCTTCTGTAGGGCTAGCTAGTTCTGTGTTCCAGTGTTGTGCCACAGCCCACTTCACCCCCCTGACTATGCCACTGTAATTTATGCATAAACAACATGGTTTTACCTCTTTCATCTCTTTGTATGCGATAACCCCAGAGATTGATACACTATTAGGACTGCCTTTCCTGTGTTGCCATTTAGACTATATCAACCTTTGTGAGTCAAACTTGTTTTAATAAAAAAAGTATTTAAAAGCCTGTAAAACTTGAAGCTGTGATATTTTGATATTGTGAAATGTCATTTCTTTCTTCTGGTATTGAAAACACAAGTGACAAATAAACATTCCCTCTAGGTTAGAAGCATACAGCCATATGCTGCTGCTCCATTTGACTATTTGCACACCAGCAATTTTAATGTCAGGCTTATAATGAAAAGAATGTCAATATTAGTCTGAGCCACTGGAATCTGGATCTGCTTATCGCAGACATGCCATTTTCAAGTTTGTTTTTAAGCACGAGAAAAAAAGAAGACTAAGAAAGTGATTCATCTTATTCTGGGGCCATATCTGTTCCATCTGACATGTTTGTTTACCAAAAATACTGTGTGATTAATTGCAATCCCTCTTGCAGAGAGCTTAATGAGACCTCTGATGGAAAAATTAGTAATGCTCTGCAGGAAGCATCATTCTTCAACTCCTCAGTGTTATATAATTTAATAATTATCATAATAAGCTTAGATGAGTAGCATGTTGCCACAAAGACATACAGTATTTATTATATATAGTGATTGGTGCACTTACAGTCAGTCTTCAGAGGAGGTTCAGATTTGGAACGCAAATGCATCAGGGTCCATTGTCAAAGGCATTTTGTGTTGTTATTCTCTTTGAATTAAGCACATTCATTTTTCTCATTGAGGATTAAATCAAATAAAACTGTATTTAAAGAAAATCAGCGTGAGATATGTTTGTCCTGAAGGGTAAAGCTCTAGATATTCTAAAAGACCTCTACAAGCAGTCATTAAAAAAATCCATCTGTATTGATTTAATTAACCTGGACATAAAAACTGCATCTATGCAATCAAAAATACCTCATTAAAAAATCTTCTTACACTAGAAGTTACACTTATTTTACTCCTGTAGGTCTTTATGTAGGAGTCTTTGCAGGACAGTGTCTCATCTTTATATGTCTATGTAATGGGCTAAGTTTCCATTCAGCTTAAACACTCCCAAGAAAATCTCCAGGACTCAGACGATTGGATTCCAGAAGTTTTTACTGGGCACTTTTTTTGAAACTGTAAACACAATACAATGAAATATATGAAATGTATTATAGATGCAATAAGCTCAAAGCATCTGGCTAATTATCACAGCTTGACAGCCTAGCCGCATAGCTTATATGAGACACAATAAAGCTAACCGAATAACAGACAACGGTTCAAAACGCTTCACCGCTTAATTGTACAAAATGAATTATACTCACAGACTATGCCTTAGAGAAGAGAAAAGGATTAATCCTGTAACGGCGGAGCTGGCGGTTGAATGAGCCCACACGCTAATATCCCGAGTCACACAGTAGATTCACTTCCTGACTCTCAGCATAAACTGCTCTCGTGTTATCATGGTTACGAAAATACACACACCGCTCTAAGCTACGATAGCGAGATAAAGAGAACACAAAGAACACATTTCTGGGGGCATAACACTCCCCGCTTGGGGTCTTTAAGAGCCCACATCAATTGGCAGAGTCAGACTTTGGAAAAAGAAGCAGAACTACTTCTGTAATGGGACGAGAGAATCCTCTTCTATTTCCATCTTTAACGACCTCCACTTCGACTCTCCGGACCAGACCGTCCTTCCCTGGAAAGGCTTTCGTGATGATGCCCATGGGCCACTCATTTCTCTCTGCCCGATCATCCTTTAAGAGAACTACGTTCCCTTCTTGAAGATTCGGCTGTTTACCTTGCCACTTGTGTTGAAGTTGCAGTGTTTTGAGGTACTTACGCCTCCATCTGTTCCAAAACATGTCTGCCAGGCCCTGAACTTGTTTCCACTCCTCCCTGAAGAGATCTGCTTCCTCGAACTTGCCTGACGGCAAAGGAGGCGCGGAGCCTGTTTTGAGAGTCAGGAGCATGGCTGGTGTGAGGATGCAGGGCGACTCGGGGTCGGATGACACTGGAATGATCGGCCTTGCGTTCATAATTGCTGCTACCTCGGCCATAAGCGTGGTCAGAACCTCGTGCGTCAGGCGAGACTTTCTCTGTTCAAGCAGCATGCAGTCCAAGATACGGCGGGCAATGCCGATCATCCTCTCCCATGCGCCACCCATATGGGATGCATGGGGTGGGTTAAACACCCAGGTGCAGCTCTGTTTACTGAGGTATTTCTCCACCCTGTCGAACCCTGAGTTTTCCTTGTCCATCCCCAGCTCACAGGAAGCGCCGACGAAGTTAGTTCCGCAGTCCGAGCGTATCTGCTTCGCGGGGCCCCTGACCGCAAAGAATCTCCTCAAGGTGTTAATAAAGCTGCTGGCACTCATGGCTTTGATCACCTCAATGTGCACTGCCCTGGAACACATACACGAGAACATCACCGCCCATCGCTTGGAGTTTGAAACTCCTCCTCTTGTGAGGCGTGAAACGATGCCCCACGGTCCAAAGACATCGACACCTATGTAGGTGAAGGGAGGTGCTACTTGTAACCGTTCTGCCGGCAGGGCTGCCATCCGTTGATGTTCGGCCTTCCCTCGCAGCTTCTTACAAGTGATGCATCCGTAGAGCAGACTGCTGATACAGCGTTTGGCTCCCACGAGCCAAAAACCTGCAGCCCGAACGGCACCCTCAGTAAGATGTCTCCCCTGGTGTTTTACTGCTTCGTGATAGTGGGACACAAGCAGAGTTGCGAGGTGATGCCGGCCAGGAATGATGATGGGATGAATCTCGTTCATGCCTAAGCCTGACTGCTCGATCCGACCTCCTACCCTGAGTAGTCGATCCTGGTCCATAATGGGATGCAATCTCCACAAGCTGCTGGAAGATGGTATATCGACTCCAGAACCGATACACTTGAGCTCTTCCGCATAGCACTCACCCTGGACACTCTTTACGATGCACACTTTGGCTTTCAGCAGCTCCTCTTCTGTAGGACGACAGATGTGCCAGCCTCGACATTCGCCCTGCGTCGAGCGAGCGAAGGAGCTAGCTACGTGGATCAAATGTGCAATGGCTGCATGGAGTGTGCTGAACTTGGAGAAGCGTTCAAAGCGTTGAGGGCGTACCACGCCTTTAGCGACATGGGTGAGTTTCGTCGTCACCTGTGGACGCACTTCGGCGTCGATGTCGGGGTCAACAAAATTGTACATCTCTTGAAGCTCGGATGGATGCCCTGATGCGTCGCAAAGAAAGGCTGGTCCTTTGAGCCATGGTGTACTGCTGAGCAGGGCTGATGCTACAGCTCTTGACCCAACGTCAGCTGGGTTAAGATGCGATGAAACGTACTTCCACTGGCCGGGACAGAGTGACTGAAGGATACGTTGGACCCTATTGTGTACGTAGACATAAAATCTCCTTGACTGGTTATGGATGTATCCCAGTACGACCTTACTGTCTGTGTAGTAGGTGATGTTGTCGCACGTTGTGTCCATCTCTGCGACTATCATCTCAGCGATCTCGACGGCGAGCACAGCAGCACAAAGTTCAAGTCTAGGGACAGTTAGGCTAGGTTGGGGAGCCAACTTCGATTTCCCAAAGACAAACCCAATCTCAGTTTGTCCCTGCTTGCCAGTTACCCTGATGTAGGCTACGGCCGCTATTGCTCTGACCGACGCGTCGGCGAAGACGCAGAGTTCTCTCCTTAGGGCACCTGTGGTGGAGAGGGACGTATAAGGCCGTGGTATTTGGAGCCCCTCCAGGTCTTGAAGAGACTGTTTCCATCTAGTCCACTCGGTCTCCATGTCTTTGGGAAGGGGTGCGTCCCAATCTTCCGCTTGCAAGGTGAGTTCTCTTAGGATCCGTCTTCCTCACTGTGATGGGTGCAGAAACCCTAGGGGGTCGTATAGCTGTTCACGGTCGAGAGTACCCCTCTGCGGGTGAACGGCTTCTGATCGATCTCATCTGGAACGGAAAGTGTCCGTGCGCATGTTCCAGAACAGCCCAGGCTACGCTGGATAGGCAGATCATCGATGAAGAGATCTAGGCCATTGAAATCCTGAGAGCGATCCTGAGGGGGGAAGCTCTGATGACCGCAGAGCGATTTGAGCAACCTTGTGCAGCCTGAGGTTGAAGCCGCGAGCATCTTCTGCGCTCGTTGGAGAACTGCGATGCCTTCTTCCTCTGTTGAAAGACTTTAAGGCATCGTCGACTAGAAATCGCGGTCGAGAATCTCCTGCATCGCTGCCTAGTCGGCCTGTGCCTTAGCCGCCCGCCGCAGCAATACACTGCGACAGCGGCGAGGGGCTGTTACCAAAGAGATGACCCGCATTCTGTAATCCACAGTCGAGGTAGGGTCTTGTTTTACCACAGGAACGGAGAAAATCCCGGTGGTCTCTTTCACGATGGACAGTGGAACATGTGCTCGATGTGCAGGTGATTGCAACCTGTTCCTTCCTAAACCTCATAGAACCCTAGTAGGCTGTTATTAGATCGGGACCCTGAGTAAACATCGTTGAGCGATACTCCCTCATAGGATGCCTGCTGTCGAAACCACGCGGATCTTGTCCGGCTTCCGAGGGTGATACACGCCGAACAGGGGCAAGTACCAACGCTCCTGACCGGTTGCATGGGAGGGGCAGCTTCGCATGGCCTTCTTGACATCTTCTCCATAAACTCTAGGAAGTCGGCTTTCATCCGTGGTCGTTTTTCCAGTGAGCGCCGAAGTGAGACGAGGCGTTCGAGAGCCTGTTTCCTGTTGTTAGGGAGTCGCTGCCTCGGTGACCTAAACGGCAAAGGTGCGACCCAACTGTTGGAGCTGTCTTGGCAACACTCGGCTTCCATTATCCTTAGAAACTCCAAATCTTCCCTGGATGGAGCAAGTTTGTGGTCGTTGGGAGTGCGAGCGAAGACGGTTTGCCCCAAATTGTCTCCGATTAGCGTCGTCGGGGTTCGCGCTGGATATTGTTGATAGTCACGTGCTTGTTCAAACACCTCTGTCACTTTGATCTGGTTGTTACATGGCTGGAGATGGCTTGTACGACCGTTCCCTAGAACGGCTGTTTTGTAGCTTCTCACCTCCGGTGGTCTGTGAGCACCTCCGAGGCACACGTCTCCTACGATGACCCATCCCAGGTCAAGCCTTTGGGCGAAGGGAGCATCTCCTGGGCCGCTTATTTGCTCTCGGACCTTGTGGACCCGTAAGATATCTCTGCCCAGTAAGAGAAGAATGCTGGCGTCTAAGTCCGGAGGTGGTATCTTGTCAGCGATGCGTTTTAGGTGGGTATGATGATAGGCCGCACCGGGGGTGGGAATCTCCGCGCGGACGTTGGGAATTTGGTTACACTCGAGGAGTGTAGGCAGAGAGATACTCAGTTTCTCTTCCAACGGCTCTACGGTGTAGCCGCTGGCTCTCCTTCCTGATGTCTCCGTACGTCCCGCGCAGGTCTTTAGTGTGTATGAGTACGAGCGCCCGGAGATCTTGAAGGCTTCGAAGAACTCTGACCGCGCGAGGGAGCGATTACTCTGCTCATCCAATATAGCGTATGGCTTCCTCTCTTCGTCCGTTTCCTCTCTTCGTCCGTTTGGGAACACCCTGACGAGACAGATCTTAGCACACGCTCTAGCACTCAGACCTTCCCCACATACCTGTGTGCACGTTGCGTTGACCTCCTGGTTATCAGCTTTGTCCTCCTCCCCACTATCCTCTGAGATGGAGGGGAACGATTTAGATTTCCAGGTAGGTGGGTGAGGGTGGAGGGCTGTCACGTGGGCAGCGCTACCACACTCGGTGCATGTTATCTTGGCTGTGCAGTTCTTTGCAAAGTGTTCTGTTGACGAGCAACAGCGAAAGCAGACGTAGTGTTCTTTCAGAAGCTGTTTGCGATCGTCTAAGCTCTTCTCGCGGAAACCTCTGCATTTCCTCAGAGGATGGGGTTTTTTGTGCAGGGGGCAATGTTTATTCGGGTCAATACGTTCCCTGCTTTCCTTAGACTCGAACTTGGCAGTGCCTGAGACTTGTGTTTTGTGGGTGTGAACGGACGTCTTCGTGGGCCTCTCCCATTTATTCATTCTCTCGGTTGGGGGGCTTGGTGTGAAGAGGTTGAAACTTGGGTCCGTACGTGCTATCGCCTCGGTGCGGATGAAGTTCACCAACACGGAGAAAGGTGGGAAGCTGACGAAATGTTCTTGTTTGTATCTCGTCCCGTGGTATAGCCACTTTTCTTGTATGCTGTATGGAAGTTTCTCGATGATGGGCTTAATTCCTCTGGAGGTATCCAAGTACGACATGCCCGCGAGGTAGCCATCTTCTTTAGCGGCTTGTAGCTCTGACAACAGGTCGGCTAGATCCCGGAGTCTCCGTGGATCTTTTGTCGTGAGCTTTGGGAAGCTTTCTAGTTTGCTGAACAGAGCTTGTTTGACGGCTTCTGGGGAGCCATATAGTTCGCCGAGGCGCCCCCATGCTGAGCACAGTCCAATAGTTGGATTCCTGATGTTGACCGTTTTTATTCTTCTTACCTGCTCTGTTGACTCCTTTCCCAGGTGTCTGGTTAGGAGGTCGAGTTCTTCTGCAGCAGACAGGTCTAGATTGGCAATGGCGTTCTGGAATGATGTTTTCCAGGCCCAATAGTTTATTGGCTGGTCGTCATATGCGGTGAGACCTGAAGTCACCAAGTGGTTACGAGCGAGATATTTGATGAGGTCAGTGGTTGTAGAATGGTCGTAATCACCTCCGTAGAGTGTCCCGTGGACGGGCTGATGCGTGAGAAACGTAGAATCTCGTTTGGGGTTCTGCTGTAGGAGTGGAGTTGGAGGGGGGTAGAAGGGTGACTTGGAGCTCTGTCGTGTTGGTGCGTCGCTTCTCCAAGGGCCCTGAAGAGCTTGGTGTGGCGTAATAGCAGCAGGAGCGGCAGCTTGGGTCTGAGCCGCGTTATGCGGGTGAGTGACTGGCTGAGAAGGGGGAAGGTTATTTTCTGTAGCCGATAGACCCTTGGCGCTCAGGCTGGCCTGTTCGGAGACAAAGACGGCTACGCGCTGGTCTTTGACAGACTGGCGGACCAGGCTGTTAACTTCGCTGCGTACTTCGAGACCCATATCCTGCAGACCAGCTACTAGGGAGTTCGCCTCAGCAACGGCGGCATCCCTTTCTTTTTCATCGATTAGTGCGTCGAGGCTGGCTTGAATACGTGCTTGCTCCACTTTAAGCTCAATTTCCCTCTTTGAATGTGCCGCTCTAGCTTGCGCGGCTTCAGCCTTTGCTTTTGCCATGGCGATGGCTATGCTAATTTTTGAGCCAGACGACGTGCCGGATGAGCGACTGCTCCCTGAGCGCGCACATTCTGACTGGCTGTCTCCAATTCCTTTGTCAGCATTGCTACGTTGTGACATTACGTGCCGTTGGGTCTCCGGTATCGGGAGATGTGGGCTGCGGCGAAGTTTTCCGAGGCTATATTGGAGGCTGCTTATCTCTCGATAATGAGTAGCTCCGTACAGCGGCAATCCTCGTATCCCTATTAGCTGCGTTGCAGTCTTTTCACTGTAATGGGCTAAGTTTCCATTCAGCTTAAACACTCCCAAGAAAATCTCCAGGACTCAGACGATTGGATTCCAGAAGTTTTTACTGGGCACTTTTTTTGAAACTGTAAACACAATACAATGAAATATACTGTAAACACAATACAATGAAATATATGAAATGTATTATAGATGCAATAAGCTCAAAGCATCTGGCTAATTATACAGCCTTACACCTAGCCGCATAGCTTATATGAGACACAATAAAGCTAACCGAATAACAGACAACGGTTCAAACGCTTCCCGCTTAATTGTACAAAAATGAATTATACTCACAGACTATGCCTTAGACGAGGAAAAGGATTAACCTGTAACGCGGAGCTGGCGGTGATGAGCCCACACGCTAATATCCCGAGTCACACGTAGATTCACTTCCTGACTCCAGCAACTGCTCTCGTGCTTGTCATGGTTACGAAAGATACTACGAAGATACACGAGTCGCTCTAAGCTGATACGAGATAAAAGAACACAAAGAACACATTTCTGGGGGCATAACAGTCTGACTTATATGTGATCTGGCTTAGCCTCCATCCACAACATTCAATTTAATTCCATTCAGGCTGTTTAGCAACAAATGACAACAACTGTTTGTTCAAGAAGCTTTTTATGGTACAGCCCCTTCAATATTAGAGAAGACCCCACCAATCCACAGAGGGGGCAACTACTGTAGAGCCTTGCCCCCCAGGCCTGCCCCCCCCCCCCCACACACACACACACACACTTTTATGTCCTTAAAAAGTTGTAAAAACTAATTGTCTAAACCTACATATAAAATTGTCTTTATTTTCTTCGATTGTTTTAATAGTTTTAAAGTGTTTTTGTATATTTTTTGTTGACTTCATTTACAATTCAATTGAGAGTTTTTTTGTAACTTTAGCAGCAGTAACAGCAAAGACTTATCATAAAGCTTTGAATCAAAGAGCTAGTGGCCACCAGACAAGTGCAGAGAGGGATATTTGTTCCAGCGTTTCATTTCCTGAACATTTTTTTCAAACTCGCAGCATGGCAGTGTTTCTGTGCTGAAAGAGTCCCTTTACTTTTCTGTCTAACAGCAGATTTGTATTATTATGTCTTTAAAAAAATACACACACATCCTGAATTTCCCCTGACACACTGAGAGAAACAGAGCTCAAATTTCCTCCATTTCTATGTCACTTTTGTCACTATTTGTCATCATTTGTCCAAACACACATTGCCCTCACACCTGCGTGTGGTGCATGCACATGATTTGAGCCTGGCTATTCTTATCTGTTGGTTTCTTGAATAGGAGATGATATACCTGAAGGGGTCATGACCTGAGCAGTTATTGAGGTCTTTTAAATCAGAAGTTTGATTCAAGCTGAGGGTCAGAAACGCGAAGACGATATTCGGATGATTCAGTGAATCATTGCAGGGCACAAAAGATTTATTATTGTGCATCCTTCCAGAGCACAATGCAAACTGATTGATATCCTTTGCTTTGCAAGCAGATGATTAAAAGCTATTATGTTTTCACACTTCTTTGTGTGTTTGGTTGAAAAATAGCTGCAGGCTAAAAAGAAGTTAAAGCTGGGGAAGGTAACACGGATTTGGTGCCATTTGACAAAATAGCCTTAATAATATTTCAGCATGTTGTAATTCAAATGCTTTGAGAGGGAGCCTTCTTTGGGCTGTTTTCAAGCCTTTAAAAAACGAGCCTGTGACAGAGGAGCTAGTCACAGGGAAGCGACACAAAACAAGTCCAAAGCCGAAGTAAGATTCAGTGGTCCAGTGGGTTGAATACAGGGATTTCCCTTTGATTTGAATCCTGTGTAAAGTCAAGAGTCCAGCTTTTTGTCTTTGTATGATGTCAGAGAGAGCCCAGTATTAGTTGAATTGTGCATCATACAAAGTATATCAAGAATACGCTACTGAAAATGACCATAACTGGTCCCCCATAAGAATAAAGTCATGCAGTTGTTAATGCTACTCAAAACTGCCTTCCTTTTAGCCGGAGGTTCCCTAGTAGTGAGGAACAGTACCATGAGCAGAGAAACAGCGCTAGTGTGAAGAAGTAGGAAACGCATGAAGCCTATTCTTTCCAGCAAATTATTACATCCTGGGCTGAATTTCAGCCAAATCAGGACACAATCTTGTGTTATCGCAGAACTTAACTGAAATGTCTGTTGGATTAAATCAGGCTCCAGTGAGAAATCCTGGAGACAAATGTAGAGGTCAGTGCTCACTATTAAAGTATGTTCTCCAATAGAGCCACTTGGTATCAGTATGCTAGACTGCTGTAACTCATAAGAGCCAATATTGAGGCTTTCCTTTGAATTTGAAGAATTCAACTGAAGAATTTCATTTTGAATGACAATGGAAGCATTCTTGTTAGTATAGGCACTTAGGAAAAAGCCTTGCTGTAATCCACTGAGAAACCTTTCATGTATTCGCTGGGTGTTTTCTTCAACCTTGGGCTGAATATTCCTGTGCAAATGTATAGTGCGTAACTTGTCATTCAAGGATGTAATGATTCACCATCCATGGCGCCTCCTGGCACTTTCAAAGGTCATCCCTTCACCAGCGTTGCACTCGCTCATCGGAATACAAAGACTGCAGGAAAACTTATCTCATCTGCTCTCACAGGTGCCTTTAAAATGATATGTCACTGCAGTAGAACATTTTATCATTTAGTGCACGTGCACACGGTGTGTGGCTATTAAGGAAGAGATTCAAAAATCAGTCCAAGTAGGGCTCAGTGCCTTGCTCAAGGACAGACTGGCAAAAATGTTATTTCAGTTCCAGAAGGGAGATCAAATGCAGCTCCTGCTTCAGCAAAGAAAAATCAGTTTGCTGGAAATGTATGTGTGTACTACAGTTTATATTCCAGGGTCATTCTTTTCAGGCTGTAATTGATGTCATGATGTGGAGGGAAAAAGCCAGACCGCTGGTGGTAATAGCAGATCCTCAGGGCAGGCAATTTGGAGGTTGACTGCTCTTAACCCAGGAGGAAGGCACAGAAGCTGAAATCTTTATGGCATGGAAAAATGTAGCTGGAGTAAACCAACAGTCACTCACTTAGTATTATGAGGGGTTTGAAATTTTACTCTCCATGTCGACCACCAACTTCTTCCTACATTCATTTTCTGCTCTGATTCAGTCTGTTCATCTGCATTGACACTTAGTAAAACTGATATTCCACCTGCCAGCTTCAAAGATGGGTTTCTGATCCCAGAGGACCAGATTTGGAGCCGGAGCTGGAGCTGCACAGACTGTGTGCATATCTGCTTGGCTGGTTTCACTTTCATATCACACAATGGGCTCATCTTTCCAAGTCCCATCTTGCCTCCTGCGCTAGACAAGACCGCCAAAAAACTGTTTGTTCTGTATTCTCTTTGCTCTTTTTACACAGACGTGAGATGCAAAATGCAGAGATTTCTTTCTTTTAACAAACGGCAATGAATCTAGCCTCCCACAGAACACTTTCTTTGGCTCACATGTTTATTTGCCCTCCTCCAATTCCACCTTTTGTAATATCTTGTTAGATTCCTGCATCAATCACTCAGCTCTGCCTTTGCTTGGGCATCACCTGCAGATTGATTACCTTTCAGGGGTTCAATGTAATGACAAAAGGGCAAGCTAATTTTTGAAGTGACAAATGGTCAGTTAAGTGATTTCAATCCAGTGGGAGGCAAATGGTCCTGGAGCTGTTCTGTGGAGCGGCCCCAGACTTTCTTTAATAATGACCTCTATTTTTAACAAAAGGAAGGCAACAAATTATTACTAAGCATATATCCAGGAAACAAAGAAGCAAAATGAGCCAAAATAAGAGTACAGCGGCTTCTCTTTTGGGAAGTTTCTTTTGATAAAGCGCCTTTAAGGTTCAGTTTGTAATGGCAAAGCAGTGAATGCTAATGAAAAGGTGTGACATCAAGTACTGCTAGAAGCTCTAAAGTTTTTTTTTGTTTTTTTTTAAACTGATTTAAAAAGCTAATAACTGTGGGATTAAACCAAACCTGAAGGTCAAGTTGGAATGAAAAAGAGGATTTGCAACCAGGCACAGTTGTACAGGGTTGCAAAAGCATGCACTGCATCCTCCATTGACAAATAACGTGAATAACGTCAGTTGTGTTGCAATGCTTTGCCCCGAGACCTTGAGGTCCTGGCATTCATATGGATGCTACTTTGATACATAGTAATCATTTCAATTCAATTCAATTTTATTTATATAGCGCCAAATCACAACAACAGTCGCCTCAAGGTGCTTTATATTGCACAGTGGATCGTACAATAATACATACAGAGAAAAACCCAACAATCATATGATCCCCTATGAGCAGCACTTTGGCAACAGTGAGAAGGAAAAACTCCCTTTTAACAGGAAGAAACCTCCAGCAGAACCAGGCTCAGGGAGGGGCGGGGCCATCTGCTGCAACCAGTTGGGGTGAGAGAAGGAAGACAGGATAAAGACATGCTGTGGAAGAGAGACAGAGATTAAAAACAGATATGGGTTATTATCTGATCATGCTTCCGGTTGAGTGAACGCTGGCGCGCTTGGCTGCCGCTGCTCGGTTATTATTTTTACTTTTATTATAATTTTTCAGTTGCTGACAACAATTTGAATTGAGTATCTAAGGCGCAACCCTGATTTGACTTGTTTTCACAATATTTGCGAGCTTTTATTGCTTGCACTGCAGCTGTCAGCTGGTTGTTCGGTCCCTCCGTTTGTGTTCAGTGCTCGGCCCTGATTAAGATGTGGATCCACAGGGTGTTGGTGTGGCTCGTGCTCACCTTGGTTTTTTTATCCATCATTCATCACCCCACGACAGCTTTTCTCCAGTACTCTGCTACGGATCTTTTGCAGCTCCGTTTTTGCCTGGCTGTTTCTCCACCTGTGGCTCTATACTTCTACCCGGGCATCGCCTTCCAGCCCCGCCACAGGTATATCTGCCGAGGGCTTCGGCGGAATTTCAACATCAGTGACACTAACTCAATATTGTCCAACTGGTCAAAAACTCATCGTCCTCCCCGCGAGACTGACCGGGCTGTCGACCACAATGTGCTGGCCCACCTGGCTAGATCAACTAAGCCTACTGTCAGGCATGGTAACTCCAGCATCAACTTTGGTCTATTAAACATCCGCTCTCTCACTGGTAAGGGACATCTCGTCCATGATCTCCTCTGTGATCGTAAGTTG